CCTCAGTTTTCTCCTCCACGAAGGTGGAAGGTAATATAACATGCTACGGCGCTGCTTTCGTGGCCTAGATGCTTACGCTCTCTCTCACAAGCTGGCCAAGCTGGTTGGGCTTGGTTGGATTGAACGACTTTAGGATCCTTCGGCGAGCTACTCAGTGAAATCTGAATCACCACACCATCAAACGACTGCCAAGTCGATTGCAAGAGCTTGGGGGATATTTAACCCTGTTCAAGAGAAGTGCATATCTTCAGAGCGTTTTGCACAAAAATTGAACAAAGGTTAAGTTGGTTGATGTCGGGCAGTGCTCGCGTTATCGCGCGTGTGTTGATATCGATGGCGGGAAGGGTTGATGTCACGTGGCAGTGCTGAACACTAATGCTATTATTTTTACAGGGAATTCCTTGGGGCGCATTAGTTTGATTGGATCACTTTGGCTCGATGGGACGAACCGGTTTCTAGTTTACCAATGATGATTTGGGATGCTTTTGGCCTCGGCTTGGCTCTGTGCATTAGAATGTGTGCAAACAGCACTACCAACTTGAGTTCGGTGCCTTTTTGCAGCCTGCGCACAATTCACAGAACGCATTTGGGGGCCCACTTAGATGGCGCCGGGTGTCCGGTGTTGTTCCTCGTGTTTAGTGGACTGGGGGTACTATACTAAAGTATCACGGTCTTATATAACTTCGTTTTTTCCCGCGTTCCGTGTCGAGTTTAGTTTCGTGAGTTTCTAAAATTCCTCAAACCATATTTTACAGCTAGCTGGACTATTCACATTTATTCCACCTTTTTATAATACCTTCAACTCTATAATTGCTCTGGCAGCAAACTCCCTCCTCTTGAATACATATTTGAAAAATCCTCCAAATATCGAATTGTGGGTAATCCTCCATCCTCAGCACCCTGAATTCAAGTGAAAGTTAACCCGTTATAGGTAGCCCGAATGGCTATCTTCGTACGAATGGCTATTGCGACAGCTTCTCTAGCCCCACATGTTACGGGCACAAGTGCTGAATGGATATCGGCCATCTGCTCGCTTATAGCCGTGGCTCTAGCTCTGCTCACTCTCATCACCGTGTGTTTGGCGTCGGATCAGATACTCATCCGCCATCGCTTGGGTCTTTCGAAGGAGTCCCTCGGCCCTTGGATGCCAACGGTTGTTTCGCCTTCCGCCTTCCGAATGCAAATGTGGGTTTTGACGCCAACCCTCAGCGTCCGCCTGTTAGTTGCTAAGAACTGGCAACCTGTGATCTCAATTCCCCTCGGTTTCGAACTTCCACAGAAGAGCGCAAAGACGGACTTGGAGGCATCCAGGATGGTGCCCGCACAGGCAAGCTGGGTAAACTTTTTAGAAGGTCTTGGGATACCCCCGGGAGATGATAGAGGGTTTTACAAGATGCGATCTGAATCTGAGTCGGTCAACGGGGTTGTTCCAATGCGCTGGAAAGGACCTGACTTGGCCGCTATCTGTTCAATTCTTGGCTTTCAGCCGATTAAAAGCAAGCCAAACACTAGGAAGCTTATGGACCTCCCAACCCAGTGGTCTGGGCCTTTGGGGTGGTTGCAATTTAGAGCCAGCTCTGACGGATGTATTGTCGAATACCGAAGGAGATCGGTAACCGTCGACCAAATTCCCCTGGATCTTCACAATTACTACCGGAATTTGGATGTGGAAAGCCCACCCTTCAAGCTCAAGTCAAGGCTCTGGCAGTCAATTGGTGGGATGTGTTGTTCCGATAACGAAGTCATCTATCTCTCCAACACTTTCGAGAAGATGAGGGATCGTGGAGGGAATGTAGAAGAGCTGGTCGATGTGATGTGCGACGAGCGCATAGAATGCCCAGAAGAATATAGCGGGGGGGAAGTAGTGGGGAGAATGTTCAGCAAGAAAGCCAATCGCCATAGAGGCCCCCGCGAGAGCCGGACGCCCCAGTTATCTCCGCAGCTCACACGCGGCATATCCGATCTCCTCAGATTTCCCAGCTCAGACATGAAAGGTATGAAGGGCAGTTCTAGGAAGATGGTTGTGCTACGCCCCTCTCCTGGTCACCTTTCAACAGCATTAGCAGGAGAGCTTGTCCATAGCCGAGGTCTGGAGAAAGATCGCCCCTACGAGTACACATGTACTCACACCGACAAAAACGAAGTTGATAAACACTGCGAACATAAACTTGGCCGCCTCTGTATGGATACGAATTCACTGGCGCTCATGAAGAAAGCTGTTCTTCGGATAGAGCCTGATGGCTTCTACTTTTCGCCGTCGAGGTTCCTTAACATCCAGCTAGCTCAGATATGGAGCTGCGCTTTCTCGATATCAGAAACCCGTCCAAACCAGCAATACATATTCCCGATTGACCAGCTTGACCTCTGGGTTGATGAAGGCCGCCATGGATGGCCCAGCGATGACGCTCCCGAAAGGCAACTTTACAACGCAATAAAGCTCATCAACTACTTTCAGTCGATAAAAAGCACCTCCCATGCAACGTTTACGGCGGCGGACATGATACTGATTTCTAGAGCATCCGCCTCACTTCGTAGGCTTATTGGGCCTGAAGGAATGGACCTTATTTGGGCTATACTGGCGTCACCAAAGTTTTTTGGCCACTTAGCCGACCGCATCACACATACGACGATGCAAGACTTGCTGTATTCTAGGCTGATATGTAAATCTGGGCGGTTTAACTTCTCACAGATGAAGCGCTCGGAAGTAAAACTGGCCGCTGATGAAATTAAGGTGGAGTTGGTTGAGGATGGAACCTTCAGAGGTATTCAGGTGGTGGCGGCTTTTATGGACGTCTTCCTTAACTTCTTTTGGATCGATAGCGGGTGGGCCACTGATGTCGCGCTGTATGACACCACGATGCCACAAAGCGTCACGATGTGTTAGGCCCTTTTTCGCTTTCTAGTTTATTTCCTTCCCCACTTACCGGTATTTCTTAACTTACTCACCTACTTCTGCTCTGTATTTTTTTCCCTTGTTCTTTTCCCTCTCACAGTATATCACTTCTTCATTCCCCATGTCCGTTTGTCCGTCTTTTTCTACTTAACCCAACGCGCCCAAGTCCTCTTTTAGTCTCTCGCTTTTCTTTGTTCTAAATTTTGTTTGCCTGCTTGCTTTCTCTCCCTGATAGTTTTCTTTGCCAAAAGTTTTCCTAGCCTTTTCGTCTGATACTATATCTTCTGATCTCTGCTCCCTTTCTTGGCTCGCCTGGCTGGCACCAGCCTAGCCACCTCTCCCTCCATAGATCTCCCCAATAAACTTCTCCTATTATATATACACGTAGGCCCATGACCCCCACCCGGGCAACTAGTAACCAGCAGAGTGAATAAACTTTGCAGCCAGAGAACATGCGAGTGAGGTTTCATGACTCTATCACCTGAGCGCAGTTCGAATATTTAGGCCCCTCAACCGTGCTAGGCTAAACCCTCTCTCATAGTACATAGGGCGATCAGGGGTATATTATGGCAGTGCCCATAAGCCACAAGGTTAACTCTTCGTGTTTGAATAATATGGGTGTTGAAAGAAGGATATAATATTCACTCAACATACCTTCATACTCGCTGCACGTAGGGGCTGTATCATACCGATAATTAAATGCTGGTGCCTTGCATCCTCTGGCAGATGCGGCCGTTTAACTGGCCGATGGACTACCCATCGGTTTTTTTTTTTGCACTTTTAGGTATCCATAGGCTGAAAGAAAAATATAGGTGCGATAACAGATAAGTGTCAACTATGTGACTGAGTATGCAACATAGTATAATAAACCTAATACTAGACCAAATCAAATAAAAAAACCGTACTTTTACTCTCCCATATCTTGTAAGCATTTCTACGGTTTTTGTAATTGATTCAAGCGAGTATCGGGTTGGTTATATTGAATTGCATATCGAGTCACTACCAGACACTCTTCTCTTCCTGCACCATAGTAGTTATTATAATTATCAATACTGGTTGGTTTCCCGCCGGCAGCCTTGCCCATACACCGGTATCCCCAAACACTACACCGCCACAACCACCCGCTTGCCCGGTTGCCAGCAAAGCACTTGGAAAGGCACCTTGTGCGCAAGGCTTTTCGAATGCGGTGGGCGTGCGCACGGGGGGTAGTTAATGCGCATTAGGTAACTTTGAAATTTCCTGTGCTATGCACAGTGCTCGAGCACTCAAGTACCTAATCTCAAACAGAAAGCTCTACTCTAGCATTCCTCGAGCGTTTGTATTCACTTTTCGCAACTCCTTTCCCTGATCCTCTTATTGATTCACCTTGTTTAATTGATGGAGGAGATGAAAGCTAAATCAAGATAACATTATCGGGGGTAATTCCCCTCGATGGCGACGGGTGGTAGACGGTAAATATACGATGATCAAGTATGATATCATACCCCTACCGATAATGCGTCAAACCAATTTACCCCATCAAAGCCGGTAACCGGGTAGGATACGGGTACGATACCGGTATTGTAGCTTATTGGTCTTGTTTGTGGCCTATGTCTGGACAATCCAGTTCTCAGACTGGTGTAGTGACCGACACTACCAATGGACACTTACTGTACTCGAGTATATTAATTCGCATTCGCTTATTAAGTCGGCGATTACCTTCCTAATAAAGTTAGGTTATGTCGCATGGTTCAATGATTGGCGATATTTATTGCCGTATTAGGCATCTCGCCAAGATATTACAGATACCGTACTTGATACCGGTACTCGAGTACTCGAGTACCGTAGAGTTAAACTTTGAGCTACCCCAGCACCACAACAGGTTGATATTTCTCTAACCCCCCACAATTCCCTAGGCAATCATGAAGTAAAGACTTTTATAGAAGCGTTCGAGCTTATGGGTTGCTGCTGTTGGCTTTGAGGTATTCGAAGTTGGCTATATATGTTGGTTGAGGGGTTGATTTGCGTTGACCAGACAATAATGTCACGTGATCTATGTTTCCCACCCACCAGGCCTAAAAGACATGCATCCCCAGGAGCCGCATTCAAAATTTGCCCCAAACCCCACCATCACCCAACCTTCGCACGAACCTCCACCAATCCCTCCGAAATGCTCTACCTGATAGGACTAGGTCTTTCCAATGAGAAAGACATAACCATTGCTGGTTTAGAAATCGTCAAAAAGGCCTCGCGCGTCTACCTAGAGGCCTACACAAGCATCCTCATGATTGGGAAGGACAAACTAGTAATCACTTCTCCCAGTCCTTCTCCTCCTTGGCTAACCACCGGATCTCTTAGGAAGAGTTCTACGGGCGTTCCGTAATCCTTGCCGATAGAGTGCTCGTTGAATCTTCTAGCGACACAATTCTCTCAGGTGCCGACACGGATGATGTAGCTATCCTGGTCGTCGGTGACCCCTTTGGGGCGACAACACACACGGACCTCCTCCTCCGCGCCCGGGCACTCGGGATCCCACACCGTACAATCCACAATGCCAGTATCATGAATGCCATAGGGGCATGTGGACTTCAGCTCTACAACTTTGGCCAAACAGTGAGTATGGTGTTCTTCACGGATACTTGGCGACCCTCCAGCTTTTATGATCGGGTTCGGGAGAATAGAGAGATTGGGCTGCACACACTCCTCCTGTTGGACATCAAAGTCAAGGAACAAAGCCTGGAGAATTTGATTCGTGGAAGAAAAGTGTACGAGAGACCGCGGTACATGTCCGTGGCAGAATGTGCTCAACAGATGCTAGAAATTGAAAGCGAAAAAGGGGAGGGGGCCTACTCTGAGAACAGCCTTGCTATCGGAGTTTCCAGGCTTGGAAGCGAGAACCAGCAGTTCATTTCGGGGACTTTGACGGAGCTGTCTACTGCGGACCTTGGTGCCCCACTGCATTCCCTTGTTTTGTTGGGAAAGAGGGTACATGAACTGGAGATAGATTATATCAGGGAGTTTTCAATCGATAAGGAGAGTTTCGATAGAGCTTTTGCGGCGGAACATGGGAAGGTTTGATGTCACTGTTATCCAGCTTGTCAGTTTAGATTCATGAATTGTGCCCATGCTTGTACGTACACACAAAGCGGAACTAAATGCCTTTGTCGAGCTTTCTTGGCTGCATTGGTTGGTTATTGAACGGAGATACCTGTATAGGGTACAAATATTGCGATATCATACTACCCTCCCGAATCCTTTGGCAATGTCAAGGCCCGTGCATAACGCGGCGGACTATCAAGTTTGCTTTTCGAAACCAACTTATACCCTTTCATCCCCACCACCATCGTCACGAGTATTCAGCACCAATCACTCCACCAACTGCCATACGATGAGTGAGGAGAGCGAAGCCCTTTCCGATCCTGAGGAAAACCCGGAAAGAATGAGCTTCATGGATACCCTCAAGGCTTACACTGAAGACTTGGAAGCCCCAATACCGCCACATCAAGAATATTCACCAACCCCGTCTCATACTACTTCCTCGTTCTCTGCAATACATAGCAACAGTGGAAGCGATTCCATAAACACATCCGACGAGCAAGAGGAGTCGGAGTACCTGGAAGACGGTGAAGGAGAGGGGAATGGCAGCTTTGAAGATCTATCCTCAACCCTATCTATCCCCCCAACACCATCTTCGACAAGCGACTTTTGGAATCAGTCCCCAGTTCCGGATGCTTCCAGTCGTTCTACACCAAAGGCTGATTCCAATCCGTATCTTCCTACCCCGTCTACTTCCACGCGCAAAGTAGGGGCTCTTCTTTCACATAGGCTAAGCCTAGGCTAACGAATGCAAGAACAAAGACAAAATTTCTTCTCCCTCTCTGTTCATCTCCCTCCTTTCCTCATCATCATCCGACAGCTCCAGTTTATCCTCCTCTGAAGACGAGGTAACAATTATCCGCTCCAGAGCCCTCCCACCCCAGCCCCTAAAGCGAAAACTCCTTGATTCTCTAGAACCCCGGAAGAAAATACACCGCATGGAGCGTGAAAGAGATCGAGAGTGGAGCGTGAGGGATAGAGGCGTTTTAGCAGAAGCAATGCAGGATGGAATGGACTTCAATAGGGTTGCAAGGATGCTAGGGCGGGAGGTTGATGAGGGTGGACCCCTCAGCGGCCCTTTTGATAATATTACCCCAATGCTGACTAAATCAGTGTTCAGGATGTTCACAAAGGTTATTGCCGGAATATTACTGCACGCCCCGAGGCCTAGGGACAAGTCGACGCAAACTGAGTGGTCATTCGAAGATGGAGCAGGATTTGCAGCCGGCCTGGGACGTGGTGATGGGCGAGCATTAGATTAGATTGGGCAATCGAGTGATACCATGTGAGCAGCACCGCGTGTGGGGGGAGAGGGTCTCGTTGTGTATTATTTATCTCGGAACCGTATATTTGAGTATTTCATGTTCGGTTAACTCTGCATATTTATTACCATCAATACAAATAGCGCATAGATGCATAGATTTGCATTCGGATGGTTTTCCTTCATATAAGCAAAGCAAGCCTTCCCAATCCCCCCGTTCCCAATCCTCACTTCCGCGAAGCCTTCCCTCCCTCTTCATGGAATCCATTAAGATGTCCGCAAGCACAGCACACGAATCTCCTCGTTAGAGCGAGCAGAGTCAGTCCCACCCAGGGCCGTATCATACCTTCCCCCCCTCATCTACTGAACGGCCCTCACCCTAAGGTCTTACTTGGAGACCAGCAACTCAAGCGACACCAAGACCGACCCAGGCCAATAACAGGCCAGTCAGAGTCCACAAAGCGATCTTTCGACGGCGGGATTTCTGCATGGAAAAGATAAGATCCAGTAAGAGTGCTTTGTACTGTACTGCTCCGTACAATGCGATCAAGTGGGTTTCATGTACAGTACTTGGGGTTTGTACCGTAAGGGATTGTACGGGGGGAGGTACAATAGGCTGCACGGACGGTACAGTACAATGGCAAGGACCTCTAAAAGGCTCCACTACTAATTCCATTGCGACGGGCAACTCGTGTGGGAAAAGAGCAGGAAGAAGTGAATCCCGTGAGAAAGGTATTGTACTCGTACTCGTACAAAAGTAACTAAATTTATGTACTGTACAGTACCCACACCACCATCCAACTCACTTTGACGGAATCAAGTCTGTAATATTCATCTTCTTGACACCAACCTCAACCGCCCTCTTCCCTCCCCCTCCCGCCCCATAACCATCCTCAAAATAATACAACCCCCACTCCCCTGCGCCCACCTCAACAGCCCAAAAAGCCGACTTCCCATCCATCACGAGCCCACCCTCATACCCCCAAACCCCAAACCTATTCTCCGACGCCTCAGCTCTATTCCCCACGCGCACCTCGTGCGTCTCCGCGTGCACGTACACCCATCCCATAGCCGGCGGGTCATTGCACGTCGTCGTCACCATGGCTTTGATCTCGGTCTCCAGCATATCACGCAGGTAACCGGCGAAGGGGTGGTGGTTCTTGCCGCCGATGTAGAGCTTTATCGGGCGAAAAAAAATAAAAAAAATAAAAAAAGTTCAGCACGGTAGATTAGAAAGGAAGGAGAGAGATGGGGAAAATGACCCTTCCATCACGGATGGTAACGTCTTTACAATCTAATTCTTTCATCTCGGATGAAGTGTAGAGCGAAAAGTAAGTGGGCAGGCCGGCAGCTTTGGCCGCGGCTTCCTCGTCGCGTTGTCGTCGGTCCTGCGTTATCCCTTGGGCTACGCCGATTGTCGTCGGGATCGCTGTCAGTATTAGGAGGCCTATGACCATTTTCCCCCGGTGCGATGGTATGATATTGTGGATGAGTGGGAGGTTTGTTTGTCTGTTTGTTTGCCCGTCCGTGTATGATAGATGATGATAAGTTAAAGTCCTGGTTAGAGTAGTATGATATAGCGAGACTCTTTTTCTTTCTTTTTTTCTTCTTTTTCTTTTTTTACCTTTCCCTTTTCATTTTCTCTCTCTCGAAATAACTTTTAGGTTGGAGGATTGCTAGCAGGGAAATTCTCCGGTGAATACAAGTATACTGGACAAAATTTATGATGGATGGAGAAGTCGTTGATCCAAGAGAGAGGGGAAACTGGAATGGCTTGAGGGGGTTTGAGCCAAGGTTGTAAATATGATAAGAAAAAAATCAATGACGCCGTACACACACACACACACACACACAACAGGGGTTTCAGAAAATCCAGTGACGTTTTGATTATGATACCGTAGATATTTGCTGCTGTGAAAAGCGGGTCTTGTGTCACGTTGTTTACCCCCAATCCTTCCATGATCGGCTCACCGAATGTCACTCGCCGATCGTAGAAAAATGGCCTTTTTTGGAGGGGGGGTGGGTGGGTGGGTACCGCAAGAACGGGTAGCAGTACGAGTAGTCTAAAACCCTGCTCCCGTCGGGTTGGGTGCTTCCACCGTACAGTTAATTTATTCTAGGATAATTGGTTGTGGATGTGTATCCGGGAAAGGCATTAATCACACTGGTATGAACGCCGGAGCATTTTTTCATGATTTTCATGATAGCCTATGCTTTGGGTGGGGGATTTCACAAAAAAAAAAAAAAAAACCAAGAGCAAAAAATAATATTACAATTCGCGAGTCGGAGGAGTTCCCAAGGGGGAAAAAAAATTGTCGAGAGATCTTTCTTCCTCCTCCTCCTCCTCCTACTCCTTCCGTTCATTTCCCATAACCCCAAAACCGACTGGGGTAAAACAAAAAGTGTAGATAAAGACAGCCAAAAAAGAAGTAAGAAAAAAAAAGGGAAGGATCCTCAATTTCTAAAAAACGCGAGACGATAACACTTAGCCCTTCTCACTGTTCAACCGCTAGAAAGCCTCTATGAGCTACACACCCGACTCAGAATGCCCTCCCAAAAAGCGTGAAGACGACAAAACGGGATTTTTTTTCTCTTTCTTAAAGATGGCAAGTGTGCATGGGGTAGAAGATGGGAGGAGCAAAGCAAAAAGGAAAAACGGGAGCAGATACTATACGGGGGGCGACTCACAGTAGCGAAAGCTCAAGATCACCATGAATCTTCGCTCGGAGCTCGATGTGAATATCGATATTTAAATCCAACCTCAACTTTAGCGTATCGTTCTTCTTGCCTCCCCCTCCCCCACCTCCGGCTACCTGGCCGGCCGTCTGGCCAAGGGTATTCCCGAGGGACCCGCTCAGGCCGCCGGCCACCTCCCCGATCTGTCCGGTTGTCTGGGAGAGCTGCTGGCCCGGGCCTAGGCCTTGGAGGGGGCCGGATTTCTGCTGCTGTTGCTGCAGCTGACCGGCCTTCTTGTTCTTACGCGAGCGGCCTCGACCCCGGCGGCGGGATTGGGTTCGCGGGGCCGGGTCGTACTCGGATTCTGTCTCAGAGAGGTCGCTGGCGCGGGTTTGTCCTTGGGATGCCATTTCTGGGTCGAGGGGTTGTGCGTGGCGGGGTGGGTTGTTGGGATTGTTATTGAGAGATGGATAGGGGAAATCTGTAGAGGGTTTGAATGGGGGGTTGAGTGGTGGGAATGTGAGAGAGGGGTGAATGGATGAGATAGACGTTATATATTCCTGCGAGATTAATTACCGCTAAACTGTATCTACTCATTCCTGGAAATATGGAACCTTCTCTGATATCCTGTTTCACTGGCCGCCGTTTGTGAAAAACCGTTCCTTGGAACGGAAGTGCGAATGGTCCGTCATCGCATGCGTACTCGAGTACCGAAGACTTATGATGCTGGAAGAAGCGATAGAGGGGAAGAGTTGTGTAATCCCCCCCCCCTTTGCCACAGAAGCGGCTTGCGCATAAACACCGAACCTACCGCGATTCCAGACTTCAAGACAATCCAACCCACCACCCCTCGACCAATCGCAATAATCGAAGTGGAGGAGGTTATCATACACACTTCCGGCACTAACGTCGCTGTGGCTTTCAAGGTCTACCCGAATAATAGACAAGAACTTTTGCGAAAACCTGGAAATAATGGTGTCAGATCTTTTTTTTCCCATCTCTTTTCCAAGTCCATTAAATTTTGGTAAAAAAAATAATTATTCACGGTATTCTTGTGGGAGATGGGGGTTACATCACTCGACATGGATCTCCCTGTGTTAACCGCGAGCCAAGGTGGAAAAGTGAGGAGTGATAGGTTGTGATATGAAGCGAACAAAAGTTGGCGGAGGTGGTTCGGTTGGTTGGTGTTGCCTATGACGACTTGGAACAGGGATCTGAGGTTCCCTTCCAACTTGGAAACTGGAGGTTTTGGAGTTGGCAGGTTGGATTGCTAACACAACACGGAGATCGCGGGCGGTGCGGAAAGCGGTACCTGTTGGAGCACCCGTCGGCGGGTGGGGCTTGGAGAAGTTTCCTATGCTCCCTTTCGCCGTTTTTGGGGCGCGCTTGTTCGAACCTTCGCAAAAAAGTTACTATTTCCCCGGACGGCCGCTATCGTAGGATCTCAAATACTCGGACCGTGCCGTACGTTAGGTACCGTATTCCAAATTTTCCCCCCTCCGGGAAAGGGGAGAAAAGCATGGCAAAAAGTGATTTGTTCTAGCCCCTCTGAAAGCCGTAAGTGGACTGCTCTCGCTACCGAGTTGTACTTGGAACACCAGAAACAGAAGTCGATCAGTTGGCTAATCAGGCAACAGGATTCCCGAAATCTTTGGCCTCTACTCGGGTAGCTGGCTTGTAGATCTAAGATCGTCACTGTGTCCAAAAAAAAAAAAAATTACTAGACCTTGCCAAAGGAGGCAACTCGAACGACATAGACTAACACTCTGTTCAATCACCTAAGTCTACGGTGGCCTACTCGAGTACTACTGGTACGCAATTTACTAGTATCCTACCAATCCCCACTGAAAAAAAAAAAAGTCGAAAATATAAAAACTCGAATTTCGCGCTAGACAATTTACAGAAAAAACCGGGCTTTCAGTGCTTGAGCCTGCAGTGTCTGGAAACCAACATGAGGGTGCAACGAACAAGGCTTACAAGGTGCCTTCCTTAGTAGATACTGATCTTGCATCGCCTCTCACGGTCTATCTCAAGAATCCAAACACCTAAAGGGCTGAAACCAACAAATGACTAATATACGAATTACAAAGTAGTTACTCTATCAAACCAGGCTTCCCATTCCATTTTCACAAAATTAAAGCAAAAATCCCACATCATCTTATAATCCATTTAATACAAGAAAAAAAGGAAAGGGGGAAAGCATCGTAAGGCCGGAGAACCTCAAGAACTAAACTCTCACGAACTCCACGCGGTCAGCTATCATGTTCGATACGTTTAGAAGTGTCGAGGGTACATACAGCAACGACAACTCCAAATCACCATGAATCTTCGCCTTTAGCTCGATCTCGATCTCGAGGTTAAGATCCAATCTCAGTTTCAAGGGCTTATCCCTTCCACCGCTTCCACCGCTTGGCTGCACCTGCTGCTGCTGCTGCTGCCTCATCATCTCTTGCTGTTGCCGGAGCTGAAGCTGCTGCTGCTGAACCTTCTTCTGCTCCCGCTCGTCGTAGTCGTCGTCGTCCGTCTCATCCACGGACGGAATGTTAGCACGGCCACCCCTCTTTCCCCGTCTCCTCCTCCCACCGCGACGGGATCGCGACCGGGCCGAGGCCTCATTGTCTGAGGTGGGAAGGCCAGCCTCGGAGGAGCCGTCGTCGTGGTCGCCCGACGCTCGATCACTCCGACTTTCCGGATTGCTGTTGCTGGCATCACCGTTTTGCTGGCCCTGGCCCCTGCGGCGGCGGCGCTCGCCGTGGGCCTGACTCCCCGAGCGGTTCTGGTCAGAGGCTTGAGTTTGCGCACGGGAAGCAGGATTTGAGCTCGCCTCCCCCGTTTCTGGCTTCGTTGCTTCTGCCGTGGCCATCTCGTCTGGTTGTTTGTGTGAAGTCTAAGAGCTGAGGCGGCGTAATAATAATAATAAGTGAATTGAAGGTATATCGTGCGTATACAAATATAATAAAAATCTGCGTTTTTTGAAAAAAAATTCAAGTTCAAGATAAGGCCCCCAAGGGACAGGAAAATCGCAGGACTTAATATACTCTACCAGTATTTACTCAAAAAAAAAAAAACTCGGCTTTTGGCAAGATATGATCGGAGATGACCAGGGAGCATGATTTCCAGAGAGTTCCCCAGGGTTCTATCATCGATTGTCCATTTTCCTTGATCCGTATATCTTGTGACGTTAGAGAAGATGGTTAGAGGAGGTGTAAGCAGATTGATATGTAGGCCAAGACCTGTTCTGAAAATACCGCCCGGTTTGAAACGTCATTACAGGGATGGTTAGCAAGGAAAAGAATCTGGGACAAGAGGGGGGACAAGGGTTTGTTCCTGCCAAGACTTATTTAACGATGGTCGCGATACAGTACCCGTCATGCCTCGCAATATATTTGTGGGGTCTCCCTCCGAGTAGTTGACCTCGTGGAATATCAGGTTTAGTTCCTCCTGCGCCCTGGTGGCTGCATCGCAATGGCGCATTCTGCGGTTTGCGTGTCCGAGCACAACCGGGCTTTACTCGAGTGCGGGTATGACGGAAAATAAATCAACGGAATGGATTGATACGAGTTCAGATCTCGATCTCGAGTAGTACCGTAGCCTACCAAGTCAATAGTGCCAAAACCACACCAAGTGTCTCGAGGACACTCCGCATTGCCAAGATTCGCATCCCGCAAACCGGGTCCCCCCAAGCCTAAGCCTAGAAGACCTGAAGCCTTTTTCTTTTCCTGCAATAGTCCTTGTTCCCTCCCTCTCCCTATCCAATTGAAAAAAATCACACAACTTTGCGTCTACGAGTGACCGTCCATGATTGCCTTGCCAACATACCCCCCCCCCGAACTTTCTTGCTTGCGAAGGAAAGGAGGAGTGGCTAGCGCGTCATTCTTAGTACCATACCCATAAGGTATTGGTTTATACTACCCCGCTGCCGATCTCGCTTCCCCGTAGAGGAAACCACAAACCCATTCGGACAAGTGCTGATTGGTTGATCCTCTATGAGGAAACCATCCGCTAATCCCTTCAGTATCAAGTTTACCACGGGAAAGGCTTCTACTCATGTTTCATCGTCTGAGTGAGGTGTGCCGGGGTGGCTTGTGGTTTCCTATATTCGCCTCCTCGAGGATCTCTATTCTGACGCAACGAGGAGGTCATTACTTCAGCCACCGTGTTATTGGTATTAGAAGTAATACCCTTCTGTAGGTGGATCTAGAAACTTGCGGGGGTAATTGAGACCCTATATAATGCCACCAAACGAGAGTTTCCTAGACTTCGTCAGACGGAAGAGTTTTCTATTGTTTAGCCCGATTCACTACCCCTCTATCATTTCTAAAACACCTCCATCTACATCCCAACCACCCATCATGTCCACCAAAGTCACCCAGAAGAATCTCCAGGATGTCCCTCCAGAGCCCATCAACTTGGAGGAGGCCGCAGCTCCCGAGAGTAAAAACACTTCAGCAAACACTGCGAAGGAGGACACTGAATCCAACGGCGAAGCCAAAGAAGAGGCCGCCAAGATCGCAAAGAAGATGTCGGGCATTATCGACCCCGCTATCGACAGGCTGAAGCCAATCCTGCAAATGATTACCGAGGTGAGTACCCCCACCCCCCACTGTACAGTGCACTTTCCGGGTATGGAAGCTAAGTAAGAGTGGGGAGGTAGCACGTCGACAAAGCAAACAACACCAAGAAAGAAGACCTCGACGAGGAAAAGCTAGTCGACCAGCTCAAACCACTCATCGAGCAGGCGACCGGGGTTCTACAGGAGACGCACGGGGCTATAAAGGCGCTTGACCCCGACGGAAAGGTTGCCCGCAGCGCGCAGTACAAAGCCTCCGACAGCGAGGCTTCACCGGAGGAGCAGCACCTCGCTCAAGGGCTTGCGGAGGTAGTCACCCCCCCACTCTCTTTTTCCCTTTTGTGACAAACTAGAGCTAACCAACCTTGAGCCATAGTTAACCGGAAACGTCGCGAAGACGATCCAAAACGCCAAAGATAAGATCAAGGACATGCCGCACGCAAAGAAAAACTTGGGCCCTCTCCTAGACCTTCTACAAACCCCTCTGTTCCAGATAATTTCCGCCGTAGGGTTGCTGCTGAATGGTGTCTTGACCCTTCTCGGGAATTTGGTGAGTAACCTCCTCCACTCTTATCCGTCCTTTTTTGTGCTTTTTTATGCTTTTTTTTTTTTTTGCGGCAGGAAACCAACTAACTGCGGGAACTACTTTAGCTGGACGCCCTTGGCTTGGGAGGTATCGTCAGGAACGTTCTTGGCGGTCTTGGACTCGCAAAACTGCTCGATGGGCTTGGTTTGGGCCAGTGGCTTAAGCAGCCAGACAGCAAATAAATACTTATTTCTTTCTATTTTTTTTTTCCTTCCAAAAAATAATAAGAAGAATTATCTGACAGTTATGATATCGGGGTTTTTTTTTAAAACGTCTATCTTTTGCAACTATTTTCTTTGTAACCTCACAACTTTCCCGTATAATGTCTCTCTTTTGCAACTATTTTCTTTGTAACCTCACAATATTTCTTGTATGAGTTAGTTATGTCCAGACAACTCAACAGAATTACAAAGTTCATTCTGTATAAGAATCCGATAAATGTCTCCTCTTTCTTAAATCGATGATAAAGTGGGACGGTGACACATGCTATGATACTGGCCTGATATTCTAGGAGCACTATTCTAAGGCTGTAATGGGTTACCCTACCTAGGGTTGAAATTCCGCCACGATAGCACCCCACTTGAGTCATGCATCAACGCCACACAACTCCTCAACGCCACAAATCGAATTCAACATCTACGGTACTCGACTCAAAATAAAGCTCTTCCCATCTCCCTTCTTATTTCTCACCTATTCAACCCCATAAAAATAGTAGCAGACCCCTTCTGAAGCCCCACCCCAACCCCACACTCGTCTGCTATCCTCCCAAACTCATGATGGAGGAATCGCCTCTAGCTCTCGTAATACACCTACCCCATAGCTCCCCTCACCACCGCTCTGTTTCCAACCGAAGTAAACACTGACGTGCTACACCCCAGGCTCACTTGCACGCTTCCCAGGCTTCAAAAATCCTCACCTCAGCTCAACCCCCTTACCCTTCCACCACTCTCCTCGCAGCCGCAAACTCCCACGCCCTGGCAGCGACCTCATTTACAGCTGCCGCAAAGCTAACAAAAGACCCCGAAGCCCTACGCACCCTCGAGCTGCTGACTAAAGAGCATCAACGATGGGAATCTCAACTCCAACGGGACGCTGAGCAGCCAGCACGAAAGAGCAAAGACCGGGAGAGCCAGGGTGGTGCTGATGCTATTGTTGGAGCGGGGGGATCGACCTCCACCGCTGAACCGTCGAAGAGCGGGGAAAAAGCCTCACCGCAGGATGCGCCTACTTCCCCGCCCTCATTACCGTTCGCGAATACAGGTGGTGCGCCTTACCCGCCGAGGTTACAGAAGTCTACGTCATCACTTGCAACGAATTTGGCGTCCGCCCGTGGGATCCAGCTCCCCGGTTCGTCGAGGGTTCCCGGCGCATCCTCGCAGTCGCCGAACCGGCGACGTACGAGCGATCGACCACCGGCGATAGATGTATCGGCGAAACCGACTACGAACCCGCTGACCATCCTACCCCCGGATGAACCTAAGCGAAAGGATCCCGAGGAAGGGTTCAGCAATTTCTACTCTTCACTAAACACATTCATCTCACGGGTTGGCAGCCCATTCGCTACTTCCCTAGCCTTCGCTGGCCTGCCACTATTAAATGACGACGGGCGAGACGAGGAAAAAGACCGTGAAGCCCGCAGGAACGTCCTCCCAAAGAGCTGGGTAGAAAAGCACGGTCGCGGCCGAGGCCTCGAAAAAGGTTGGCCGACCAACGACCCAAATGGCGCAGAAAGCTTCTACGTGGTTCCCGTATCCGGCGGTACACTATCCTACGCCGGCGTCGTCCGTCGCGACACCTCACCAACCAGCCAAAACTCCCCAATAGACGATTACGAAACCCTCCCGCGAGACCTCTCCTCCCGAGCCCTCTCCCCCCCACCCCCGCAAGCCCAGAACCGAAGAGACCCCGGCCTAACCGGCCACACAAAAACCAAAGAGGAGCTCCAACTGGAAAACACAGGCCTCCGCCAAACAATAGACCACATGTCCCGTACCATGCAGTCCTGGCAACGCAAAACCCGAGAAAGTGAGAACATACTGAAAAGTTCCCTCATGGCCTTCTCCAAGACCAATAACCGCGACAACCCCGATGCTGGCATCGACATCCTCAACCAAGTCCAGCGCAGATCCTGGATGCACGTACCCTACGACGAGCCCGACGATGCCGAGTTCTCGGAGGGCCGCGCCGCCGCTGCCGCTGCTGCCGTTGGCGGCGAGTTGGAGTGGGACAAGGATAGGGAGAAGAGCGAGGCGGAAGAGGAGGAGGACGATCGCGAGGTGAGGATCGCTGCGCTCGAGAGGGATTTGGCCGAGGCTAGGAGCGAGAACGAGAGGTTGACCAAGGAGAACGAGAGGTTGGGAAGGATCGTCGAGAAGTTCAAGACCAAGTGGGAGAAGTTGAAGGAGGGGGCCAGGAGTAAGAGAGCGCATCCACCCGCCGGCAGTGGTGGGGCCGGAGGGAGCAACGGGGGGCAGCTGAGCAGGGTTGATGAGGCAGAATAGCTGTCGTAGCAGCGTTATATGGATAGCTCTCATCCCAACCCTTTCAATAGACCATAAATTGAACGCGTAACGAGAGGAACCGGAGGGGGGGGCGGGGACTGGAGGAAGGCATCTCAGCATATTGTATTAGTAGTCATCTTCATTTCCTCTCTCATCTCCACCTTTACACACAGGACAGCACTTTATTCATCCTACTACACAAATCGTCTATAGGCCTTCATGGTCAAGGGGGGGAAATTTAGCTTATCAAATTAGAAGGTATCTAAATACACTATATATACAGTACTCAAGTGCAAGTAAAATCTTGACATGTTAACCGCGGAAATACAGTAGAGAATGGGTATCACAACACATCACTTGCGCCCCAGCTTCGCTAGACTTGACCACCATAAAAATCAATATGCATGCTATGAACGATAGGATATGATACCAAAATGTGTTTCCAATGAATAAACCAGAAATGGCGATGATGGTGGCAGCGAGGGCGAATACAAAAAAAAGAAAAATCCCCAAAAGTAAAATAAACTAAAATAGAGTAGACTACACCAAGCGCCAGGAGTAACAAACATGCTAACTTTTCAACCTAAAAAGGGAGAGGGAAAAAAAACCCTGCAATCGCCAAACATCAAGAGAAGAAAAGAGAAGCAGAAAGTGAAAAGGTGAAAAAAGTTACACTTACCCAATGAATCAATGATCAAAAAGCAAAGGGGGATCAAAAGAAAAGGCTTAGCAAAGCAATGTCCTCTTACTACCACATCCAACCGCACCTCCAATAATCATAAAACCCAAAACCAAAGCAATCAACTCAATCAGTACCATCACCATACCTCCCTTCTTCAACCACCCTCCGAAGTATCGCCAACCGCTCCTCCATAACTCCAATCGCATCTTCAACCTCCCGGCGCTTCATACCTTGCGTCAGGCCAGCACCCGCACCATCACGCCTCGACCGTGCAGCTTTCTCAAAAGAATTCGCGCGGCGGGAAGGGGGGGCGACGACCTCGTTGATTCCGACGCGGTCTTCCAGCCACTCCCATAACCCGTCTTCCTCCGAGCGCCAGAGGGTGTCCCAGTGCTGGTGTAGATGATGCACGCCCGAACCACCGTCAACAGCTGTATTAGCATGTCGGGAGTAGACACTAGTGCTTTGCCACCACAAGAATACAGCCAGGACCAGGCATGCCGCAACAAGCCCTGGCGCGCCACCGATCAGTGGGCTGATGATGTCCGCTACGGGCTCCAGGTACGTCCTCAGTGGAGCGAATACGCCCCAGCTCGCTTGGCCTGCGGGGCTCTCGAAGCCGGCGGCTAGCGCCTCGCGGCCTTTTACGGTTCCGCCGGCGGCACGGCCGATAGCTTCGCCCTTGGCATTCAGGTCCTTCTTGCGCTTCTTGATCTTGTTCTTGGATTGTTTGCCGATGGGCTCCTTCGGTTCGACTTCCTTCTTGAGCGCGATGCGGAGGTCTTTGTTGTAAGCGATCTGACCGTCGTTGGCTCCCTTCTCAATTGGGCCTAGGGACAATTAGTTAGCATGGCACCGATAACCATTTTGAGGGGGATTACACTACCCTTAAGCCAACTCTTCCCGGACCATTCGACCGTGCAGGATGACACAAGCCTTGTTTGCCCGTCGTCCGCCCATGTAAGGCAGTATCGAGTTTTCACCATAAAGACGTTTCCAGAGGGGACATCAGGTGTTTGGGTAGTAGCGGTAACAATGACATGGTCCTCCAAGTCGCAATTGTCCAGAGTCTCTGTGATATTACACTTTGTCTGCTTCGGACCGATACCGCCACCAAGGAGCTTGATGTAAGAGAAACTGCGAGTCTTCTTTCCCTCCGGCCCGTCGATCCACTCGCCCTTATCGGGGATCGAGAGTTCAAGCACCTTCTCCTCATCCGCCAAGAACTGGGACATGAACGGGAAACTAGCGGGGCCAAAAACGAGCGAATAAACCTTCCCGAGCGGGGCAGGGATAATGTCATCGCAAAGTGGCCTATCGTAGTGGTCATCATTGCAGGATGTCGGGGGATGGGTCTGAGGTCCAGGATAGTCCACTACCGCGCCGCTGCCATCCTCACCAGATGCGCCCAGGACTGCTTGGCTAGCCTTTCTGCTTACTGACTTGGACGCCCCACCCCCGTTCTTGCCCTTATCGTCGGAGAGCACCACATCACCCGCATCTGTGTAACTCTCTCCCAGATCATCGTTGCTAGCATCCTCGTATTCGTCATCGTCTCCGTCCTCCTCGTATTCACTCACTCCATCCGGCGGATCACCCTCCTCAGCATCTCCACCATCCTCGAGCCTAACCCCAGTAGCGCCGGCAACAAGTTGCGGATGTCCGATCTTCCAGATACCAACAATAAGATCATATGTACTGTCCCTAGATATAAAACTTGCAAAGACATTTCGTGCATGGAGCGTCTGAATAACAATGGCATTGGGAAACAGCATGGCAGTATTCTTCTTCTCAACGCTGACAATCTCATCAAAGCTGATAATCAGAGTATTGACCCATCCGAAAATATTGGAGTAAAAGCATATGTGCCCTTCGGAGACGTACAGTCTGCCCTGAAGCAAGATTTCCTTTTGTAAAGCGCATCCGTAATCCTCTATCAGATAATCGTCCTCTGGCACAGACCTAAACATCTCATGGAATTCGCGGTTACGCCTCTTAGGCGCGACAGCGAACCCGGTAGGTCTGGGTACCGGCTGCGGGTTTGCTCCGGAAGCCGCAGACGACCCACGTTTCCGCCGGCCACCGCTCCTCACACTTCCAGATCTCCGCCGGTCGGCATCGCCAGACCAGGTGTCATCTCGATCATCGGGAGGATTCAAAACACCCTTCTCCGGGGCATGATCGCCGTCTCGGCCCGTAAAGGCGGAATCTTCCGCCATGGGTGTTTTCCTCAAACCTTCCAAACCATAAGAGCCACCAGGGCCAACGGGGCTGTTAAAAGCACTTTCTCCAGCGGTCTCGAACCCACCGCGAGAGCTAACAGCAGAGTCCAGAGATAGGAGAACTTCATCGTTAAGGCCCCCATCGGTGAACCCTATCCGGTGAGCCGGACCAGCGGATGCCCCGATCTGCAGCACGGTCCCACCGCCCCCAGTGATTACGCGACTATCTCCAGTCTCCGAGCTTGCCCCGTGACTATTAACGCTTGCTGACCTCGAGGGCCGGCCCTCACTAGGGGACGCGCTCGATTTTTGCGAATTGGGGAGTATGCCCAGACTGCCCAAGCTAAGCTCACCCTGACCCAACGTCTCGATAGCAGGCCGCTTCTGCGGCTCGTTCTTTTCCCCCTCGACCCCAGAACCCCCACCTTGCCGCACAATTTCCTGCTCGGTCTCACTCTTCCCAGACTCTGAAGCTCCAGTTCCACTTCTCGACCGGACCCCACCGGCAGTGTTTGCAGCGTTGGCATTAGCGATAGTATTGCCCAGGGTTGTCGCTGCATTCTGTGCAACGGAAAACATGGACTGGAAGAATCCGCCGTTCGTATTATTGCCTTGACCGGGTTGCTGACTTGCATCTAGAGTAGCGCCACCTTCAATCGTAGGAGTCAGGGGCACCGTCATACTCTGGGACAGCTTGCTGGGAGCATTACTCAAAGAATTTGTTCTACCCCTCTTCTTCATACCGTTGTCCCCAGCCTGTACCGCACCAACTGGACTCTTTGGCGGAAAGTGCTGTTGCGAGTCTGTGGGAGTGGGCGGGGTCACGGTTGTCTTTATAGTCCCATCCGCGTTCACGCCGCTTTCGGAAGTGACTATCGGCTGTGCACGAGTCTCAGTTAAAACACTTGGCCAAGGTTTAGTATCGCGTTCACTAGAGGCTACCTTTGGCGGAATTGCAGCAGCTATATCACTACCATCCGAGGTTCCAACAGACGAGCGTGTAGAGCGTCGGTTTCGATCTTCGGACATACGGCCAGCTTCCCCCCCAGATGTGGAGGGACGAGCTCCCGAGGAGGACAAGGCCTGGCTGAAGGCGGTTGGATTACTACTAGAAAATATGGTAGACAGACCGCCACCACTGTTGGAGCCCGTATTCGCCTGTTTCTCCGGTGGTTGGGGAGAGGTGCTACGTCGTAAAAATGGAACACCCAAAATACCACCTGAACCCTTCTTGCCACTTCCAATCTCAGGTCTGGCATTTCCAGCCGTTACAGTAGCGGTTGAATTTGAGTATGGGGAAAAGGTTGTAGCATGAGAAGGCCGTCTAGATCCGGATGGAGAGGGTGGCCCGTTCGGGGTGGGGGACGACAGCGTGAGGTAACCGGGCGCATCCGTAATTGGATGAGCAGGCCTGACAGCAGCGGCAGCAGCAGCCATGTTAGTCGCAACGGGTTGCAAATGAATAATCAAAAGACAGAAAGAAAGGAAATTTAATAATGGAAGAAGGGAGGAAGGAAATAGAAGGAGCGAGAGAAGGAGATAATAAAATATACCCGTGGGAATAAGCCGAGCTTATATCCAAGGTGTACGACAGTAATAGAACACATGTTCGGTGTGAAGGCAAGAAAAAAACAAAAAAACTGGTGAATCAAGTCAAGCGAAGCTCGACTTACATATCTTCGTCCGAACCATACAGAAGACTATTCCTGTCATCCTCACTAGCGCCCCGTTCCTTTCCATTCTCCTTCAGAGAATCCCCTCCTCCTCCTCTACCACTACCACCTTCCCCTTCATTGTCCTTATCCTCCTCAATACTCGTAAAGCTCGCGCCACCCGAATCATTCTTCACCTTCCTCCCAAAAACTCCCTTCCGCTTCTTCACCCCCCCTCCTACTCCTTCCGCCCCTTTCGCCCCACCACCTCCAGCGGCAGTAGCAGCAACGGTAGACCCCACAGAGCCAGCAGAAGCCCTGTCTAAACTCTCCACGCTTTCCCCACTCTTCAACGAGCTCCCTGCCGAAGCGAGGGTGTTGGACGACGACGACGAAGGGGCACCGAGGCTCTGCGTCGACTTCTTTTTCAAGCCAAATAGCGAGCGTTTTGGCTGCTGGACTTGGCTACCGTTTGTGCTACCGGGGGATGAGGTGGGGGCAGGGATTGGAGGGGGGGGGGGAGCTGTAGGCGTGGGTGTGTCGGGGGTGGCGGCCGACATAGAATGAATTGCTGTAAAGATTCGCTTGCTTGTTTGTTTTCTAGAAGATGGTTTGGACCAAATAAAGGGAAGAGAGGGAGGGGGAAGGGGAAGGGGGAAGGGAAGGGGGACGGAGGAAGGAGGATGGAGGAAAGGCAGCGAAGCTCAACTTGGCAGAAGCTTTGCTTGCAAGAGTAAGAGTGAAGAAGCGAGCACGGCAGAGGAGGGGATGGATTGAGGGAGAAAGAGTGAGGGAGGCTGTGGTGAAGAGCAATTCAACGAGTTGCCCTTTCTTTCCTCCTCCTTTCTTTTTTTGCTCTCCTGCTTTCCCCGATCTAACCTATCCTGTCCTATCCTACTTGTAATAATAAGGGCAAAAGTGCCAAATAAAATATCATACCACAAGAGCGAGCACCTATGCGCCTCCCGTAGTATCGGCATTACAGTACCGGTACTTATATCATAATATTATCATGCCGGTATTCTCGGTGACCGAACTGTACCGGTATGATACTATACCATACTCCAAGACTGCTTCAGCCACGCGCGAGCCTCCTTTGCCCCCTCGCCACTGAAAAGGGTGAGTCTTGATGCTCGGGACTGATGGATCAGACTAAGCCTATACCAGTAATCTGCAACCGCTTCAGTTCTTGGCATACGGCACAAGTTCAATGCTAAAGAAAAACACAGTATCCATAGTCTACGATACTGTACCTATCATCATCACTCAAGTACTAGTACTTCACCCCTCCGCGAATATCTGCTGCTCGAGTATGACACTTGAGCACAAATACACACATCTAATATCCACCACCATCATCACAACACCCCATGCAATCCATCTACCCCCCCATCCATCCCATCTCCCCCCCATCGCCTGCTCACACCCGCTGTTTGCTCGAACCCGGGAATAAAACTTTCCGTCCCCATCCACCCGTCCTCCCCCCGCGCACGGCTGCAGGAATTTCCATTCGTGCGCCCTATGTGAGTGTCCGAGCTCGCCCGTGGACGGGTTACCGGTATGATACCGGTACCCCAAAGGGTGCAAAAACCCTTCAGGGGCAAGACGGTAAAGTGGTATCATATCACTCGGATTTTTGTTTTATCATACCTTTAATTTTCGAGTGTGGCGCAAGCTTGGGAGGCCGGCCGGTGGGATAATTGGCAGTACTGTAAATACCTGTAAGCTTGTAGCATCTGTGGTAAGATTTGCGGGGGGGATGGGCAAGGTTTGTGGGGCTGAAGGCTGTGCCCAGGATATAATTTAATGAACCATCTATGATACGAGTAATATACTGCATCATACTGTACTCGGGTACGCGGAGCTGAGAGAAGCTTTCATACCGGTATGATTTAGAATTTTTTATCTTCAGTCCAAAATTCCCTTCTCTGGATGTGAAACAAAAAACCACCAGAAATGCTGTCCCTTTCCCCCTCCCGAAGCACAAAAGAAAAAACGTTATCGACCCTACTAGGGAAAGGAAACCCGACGACATAATATTGTGACAGCACACGGTCCGATTACCGGTATTCAATCTTTTTACAGTACCATACTCGCGTGGCAAATTGAAGATGGGCAGCTAAGGTATCATAATTATTATCATAACAATTCCCATACAAACTGGCAAACTTCTACCCTATAATACCACGCCATTGCCAATACACTTTGACCCGAGAGAAGAGAAAACCCCCGAGTGAGTAGGTATGAACCCTCCCACTCCTAATGCCCCCTCCCCTCCCCTCCCGTGGTGGGCCCGAGGGAGCAATTCAATATCTCAAAAAAATTTCAACTCGCACCCATCACCACGAACCTCCCAACACCCACAGGGCATCATACCAGTGCTGTACAGTACAGTACATGCCAATCAACCCACCATGTGATACCACTCAAACACCAGAACGCCGACCGGAAAGAAGACCCCACGCCAGAACGTAGCGACACCCACGACCTGGCAATAAAGCCTCGCAATCGATTCAACCAGTTTTGAAGAAAAGAAAAGAAAAGAAAAAAACCCTTAAACCCTGCCCCGATCCGGTCCCGCGGCACCATACCCACGATGCCCAGATCAGCCCGGCCCGATCGATCAATTCGCCTCACCCCTGTTAACCCTAAGATCCACGTTAAATGAATACCGGTAGCAGGGGAGATAGAGTTTGAACGAATCTGTGAAAAAGGTTCCTAGAATTTCCAACGGCGGACAGGCTAATATGCTCCCGTCCGACCTTGCGAATACCAGAGGGAGGGGAGATGTGATATCATTTTTTCCTGCTCGCCAAACCTTCGTTTTCGATATCTTTGTCAAGGAGGTTGGAGTGATCCGAGGTATCACACCGCACGATGGACGATGATACCAGAGTGTCGGTATCATAATATTATGTTATGGTGAGGGGCAGGTATTTGTATTTGAGTACTTAATGGGGAAAGGTATCATAACGATATTATAAGGCCCTGTAAGTATATTAGTATAAAGATAACCTATTCTTTTTTATAAAATCTCATACTTGCCCAAAAATCGAGTTTCGGCTCAAAAACATTTAGATTTTACTGTGTTTTTATTATTAATATAAGTAATAACCTAACCATCGTGTCGAAACGAGTCTCCCCCCCCCCCCACTTCCCAAGGTATATATCATACATTCAAGACTGTCACGGATTTCGCGAGAAAATTGGCCCCACCTTTTAGTCCCCCCGAGCCACAAACTGATATGCAGCTCGGCTTACCCCCGGAGCGCAAAGCGGTTCGGCAACGGATCCATCCCCCATCTCCCAAATATTAACATCCCACTTTCCTCGGGTTCGGTGGATTGTCCGGGCTAGTTAGTCCGGTTGGACTCCTCCAACCACCCACCAAGACTCCAAAGCTTAAGATCATATCATAAATTACAGACTTACCCGGTTTGGCTTGAAAGCACACGACCTAACGGAGCTTCGGTCCCTCTTGTGAGTTGGTGGTGGGCACCTGCATGGTTTATGGTCCTGGGTGACATGACAGGGTGAGATCATTAGCCTCTATAATTATTACCATAATGAATACTATCATAAATTAAATAATAATAATAACAATGACACCGTTATTACGGTATTATTATTATTAAGGATGCTCTATCATATCTTATCAGATCCCTCAAATGAAGATCTCAAAAAGAGCCGGCCTTTCTTTTTTCTCCCTTTCCTTCCCTTCCTCGTCAATATTCGATCAGCCAACGAAATAATATGTAATACTCTTCTAGTTTAGCCTTCTCTTGTCTTTCTCATGGCATGTGCTTTAAGCTCTTTTTCGACTGCTATGGCACGTTACCATTTCGCTATGTGGGCGAAGGGTCTACTTGACCCTCTCCCATGTTGGGTCGAGTTCTTAAGCCTCTCTCCCGCGAAAGGTCTCTCTGCGAACGGTACAATCTATTGACGAATTTTCAACGATACCCGTAGAGCATGGCGGCGAGTGACGGCTCATGATGAAACACTCCCTTCTGAGTCTCTGTGCCCAAGGGGGAGCTCCTCATCCTCACGGAGAGTGGGCAGTGGCCTGGGTATGATAGTAGAGCCTCAGCGGCTTGGACAGCGCTCCATGCGACGGCCAAATGCAAGATCCGACCAGCGTCCACGGTTGAACATCTTTGGAGAGACCTTGGCTGGATTCCGGTAATAAAAACTCGGGACTCCGCGGCTCCCCTAAGAGGGCTACAAAATAGTTGACCCCACACACCCAACGTAGTATCATACCTGGGATCGGCCTGAGCAACCAATTTTCCCATTGATCCTGGATGCTGAATAAAAACTACTCCCTGAACTTCGCCATCAAGATATCGTGGGGTTCCGCCCAGAGTAGAGGAAAAGTGTTCAAAGTGTCACTGCGAAATATGTCTATCCCATAACGTAGCGGGGTGTATTTTTTTTTGTTTGGGTTGTTCTCCGTTTTGCCCCGGGTTTCCACCACTATCCATCCATCATACCTAACCAGAGACGCAGACGAGGTAAATTAAAGCTGCGCGTCAAGATTTCCCAGGTGTGCTGAGGCATCCAAGAACTCCCGTTGCCATCTATTTCGACTTTTTTTGCACCGAAGCCATGAATGCGCAGAATGGCAAGCTGGTATGTGTGCACGTAGCTTCTTATCTGCGCAGGAGTCGGTTCTTCACCATAGCCTAGTACGACAATACCATCCTCAATACTTGCAAAGCGCAAATACTTCACGCCCCATATCTAGGACTACACCCCCCCCCCTTGATCTTCTTGGCCAGCATCCCCTGAAATCTCTAGAAGGAATTCGGAACCCGAGTTGGGAAGAATGAGATGTAGTGATGCAAACTCACATTTGATATTTCCAAAGGCTTAAAATTCGGAAACATCTTTGGCCCATGTGTATGATTTCCCCATTCACTTTCCAGCTAACAGCGAGAGGGTCTCAAAGGAATATGGAGGCATAGACAGGGATCATAGGGATGCTGCTCAAGCTTACTTGACTCATGGATATGGTGGTGGTGGGGAAACCTTTGTGGGCGAGGTTTTTGGAAGGCTAGAGAAGCGTTTTTGTAAGAGTACGCCTTATGTCACGATATCCCCGAGTATACCATTGTAAGGTCTAGTAGAACGTACAACCTGTTGATCGTGACAACACCACCCACCAGCACTCTATGAATGACAAACCGCTTCAATCATCCCATCACAGTCGAGGCACCGCCACACTGTATAACTTGTGAAGGCTAGAGAAAATGATAATACTTGAATCAAATGGGTTTGAAAAAGAATGGAATTGGGAATCTGAGCAAACCAGCTACCACGCGATCTCTACCTAACAACAGCAAAAGGTATTTCAAAAGCGGCCACGCGGCCCCGGACGCGCGTGTATACTATCCTCCTTGGTGACGGCGGGAAGCATGCCTTGATTATGCTTAAGGATTGAACTAACAATTCTCTCAACCTCCTGTTCACCCCAAATTAGCATAAACGTTGAAAATGTCACAGCGGATGAGATGTGAGCTAACCTCGACATCGCCAGTAGGAACCTTTGAAATTTGAACACCGAAATGCTCCGATACTTGCATCAATTGCATCCAGGATGTGGTATCATGCACGAAGCTAATGCTGACACCAATCCGCCCGAACCGTCCCGTGCGGCCGATCCTATGAAGGTAAGTTGGAAAATCGATCCTCTTATCCTTGTCCATGGGAAGGTCATAGTTGACCACCATAGAAACTGTAGAAACATCGATCCCACGGGCTAGGACGTTGGTCGTAATTAAAACCTTGGTCCGGCCGGAGCGAAAGTCGTCGATCACCTTATCACGGGCCGCTCCACCATTTTCGAGGGCAGAATGAAGCACAGATATTTTATGTCCTTCTAGAGTCATGCGTTCCGCGATACGTGTAGCCTCATCGCGCCGCTAGGAAAGGTTAGCAACCTATCTAAGTTAATTTCTGTGGGAGCTGCTAACATGGACAAAAATAATTGATGATCCGATGGTTAGAACATGGTAGAGTTGTACCAGAACGCCAAATTTAGCCTCAGCGTTTATGCAGTCCATGTACATTTGCTTGATACCAGTAACGGTCAACTCATGATGCTCAAGAGTCATGGTAAGGCAATCCGGTGCATATCTCTTGCTAAATTCAACGATCCTATGTGGAAAGGTAGCACTCCAGAGCAAGATTTGGACGTTATGACGGATGGTACTAGTTCAGTTAACACCGGAAACAAAGCCAGAAATCCAGTTACCTACGATTTAATGCGAATACACTGTTCACCTAGCCCGTGTAAATCGAGCATGTTGTCGGCCTCATCGATAACCAACATCTTGAGATGATCGAGATCCAACTGTCCCCTTCTCACACAGTCCAACGTAGTTCCCGGGGTCCCTACCACGATGTGGGCGTCGAATTCCTTCCCTCTCACAAACATAGCTGGGATGGCAAATTGTGTCTTCACGCCCATATACTGGCCAAGCCCCTCAATAACATCCACTATCTGCCTAGCGAGTTCACGGGTAGGAGCAAGGACGAGCCCTTGAGTGGAACGATTGGTCAAATCGAGGCGAGTGAGCATGGTGATAACAAACGCGGCTGTCTTTCCGGTCCCAGACTGAGATTGTCCCAGCAGGTTTCTCGGAGGGTCCTGTAAGAGAATTGGGATCGTTCTCGCCTGGATTCTCGAAGGCCATCTAAAGTTCAACAAGGCTAGTGCTCTCAAGAGAGCCTCAGGACTGTAGGGTGCAGAAAATTTTAGTTGGTCAAACCGAGTTACTCAGTATGGGGGGAGGTCAAAATTAGAGGGGTAAAAATAGTGGGACAAATAGGAAGGAATAAGATGGGGAATGTGAACCTACAGACCAAACTCATCAAAAGTTTTACGATGAGTATCGCCGGCAGTATCGTTGAAGGCTTTCTTATGAATGGACCCCATCAGAGGGTGACCCGCCTGCCCAGAAACAGCAGCAGTACCGCTGGAGGTTTCCTGATGAACGGACTCCTTCGGGGGTGGATCCAATGGCTTGACAATGAATGAAAGGGTGTTGTCATCGGTATCAGGATCTAGACTCAAGTCGTAGAATTTACCATCAAGGCCTTGGATTGGTTCAGTCATTTCGAATAGCCGAAGTGAGCGGGGGATTGGGTATCTTTCTAAATAGTATGAGTCCCGATAAGATGGTGGGAGGTGTTGGTTAGATGAACAGGGGAGGGAAGAAGGGAATGATAATGGCGTGATAAGGGTGAGAAGAAAGGAGCGTAAGGGGAAACAAGGGGTGTCACAAGAGGGGGTTAAGGGGTGTAAAATGCTAGGTTCCCGTGAAAGCTTGCGACGTCTTTGTCTAGGTAACTAGGGTACGAATCATTATTTTCTTGAAGAAGCGAGTGATCTTTTATGATTTCACGACATGAATTGATATTGCCAAGACCAACCAAACAAAAGCCAAGAATCCAGGATATCACGTTACACACGCTCTCTATCTACAAGTCACACCCAGATCCAAATTCTGTGACTTTATCTTCCAGGTCACGGCGTCACCCCCAACAACTTGGCACATTTGTATGGTTTCGTGTTGGCGGCGCGTGTCCTATGAAACTCCGCCTCAATACTTACAGACAACAACTAGTCTGACGCAAAATAACACAACACTTGTGGATGAGTGAGTGACAGCGTGACTGGCCGCAAGAGCTTGTGAAGCGTGTTCCCTTTTACCTCAGGGGCCTTTGCAAAAGCATTTCCACCCACCCCTTCTGTCACTCCAAGCCGCTTGGGCTCGGGAGTGGATTATCTTATATCTGACAACCATTTACGGCAGCCCAGCTGTCTATTTTGCCTTGCCTTCTTTCCCCTCCTTCCTTCTCTTCCCTTTCTCTACTTTCATCGCCACCTCAACTCTCAAGCCTCCCCGTTACCACCACTACTCACCTTCTTATCCCCCCGAGTAGACTGGGATTCGTTAGTCTGTGGGGTTATCCCGCATTCATCATCGTTCAAGTCTGTCGTCATTATTTTGCTCTTGAGCCCCACGTCCTAACGACCCTAGCGGGAGCTTAAAGTTGAGCCTCCAACATGGCTTCATCCATTCTATTCGCTCCTTGCCCACCTCTGACCCAGCTGGTTAAACCCTATGCCGCCAAGATCGGTTTACACTCACTCCCGTTTCACATCCACCAAGTAATAGCAGCAGTCGTAGTATACAGCCTCATCTACGTTGTTATCTCACCCATACTCTCCTCCATCTTCTCGGAAACCTACCGCAACTTCGACAAACGGACGAGGGTCAACTGGAATGTGCATGTTGTCTCCTTTGTCCAGAGCATCTTCATCTGCGCCCTAGCGATATGGGCCGCCTGCAATGACCCGACGCGGGATGCGTGGAGCACGGATAGTGTTGCGATATTGAAACGAACTTTTGGGCACAGTAAAACTCAAGGTGCCGTTCAAGCCTACGCAGAAGGGTACTTTATTTGGGACCTGTTTATAAGCGCATGGCATTTGGATATTTTTGGGCTCGGGTTTCTGGCACACGCCGCCAGCGCCGTGATGGTTTTCAGCTTGGGCTTTGTGCGTATTTGTTTTGCGTCTCTTTTCGCGTCATGGTGACACAAGGATTTTTTAGCTGATGTGCGGGTTTAGAGACCTTTTGTTAACTACTGGGCATCCGTATTTGTGCTGTTTGAGATTTCTAGTCCATTCCTCAATATTCACTGGTAAGACCTCACCTCCAACCTCCCACCCTCCCCCACTTGTTAGACGCTAAGCAATCAATTAGGTTCTGTGATAAAACAGGAAGGACCGGATCACTTATCCAACTGGTCAACGGCTTTTTCCTTTTAACTAGCTTCTTCTGTTGCCGTCTCATCTGGGGAACCTGGAATGCATTCTTGGTCTTTGGTGACCTCCACACTCTCTACAACAACCCTCCCGCGCCAGTACTACCCCCATCGGACGATAGCCTTATCCATCTGGACCATCTCGAAACAGATAAAATCGTTGCCTACCTATTCGCCGGAAAGAATCTCCCATTATGGCTCATCATGGTTTACCTCGGCTCAAACGCCATCCTGAACCTGCTAAACTATTACTGGTTCTACCGCATGATCCAGACCGTCAGCGCAAGGTTCACAAAGGACAAGCCGGTCAAGAAGGAGAAGAAGGAGAAGAAGGAAAAAAAGGAAAATACTGAGGTGGATGCGGACGGAAAGGTCTGGGTCGAGGGGACGGATGTGAACGTTGGAACTACAGCGGCGGTCACGAAGGAGAAGCTGAAGAAGAGAACTGTCACTAGACAGGCATAAGACTGCTTTCCTTTTCCCCTTGAAATGAAGAGTGAGAGCCCCCCTGTTATTTCCTCCTTCCTTCCTTTTGCGATTTCTTCTTTCCCCTCCCTTCCTTCCTTTCCCCCCTCTCTTCTCCCTTATTAAACCCTTCGCTTCGAGCCATGTATAAGATAGATACCATTTCGTGAAATCATGGAAAACGCGAATGGACGGGAACAGCCGGTAGCTGGTTGGTTGGCTTGTGGAACTGGGCCGGGAACGTTTGTTTGTTTGCTAGTCGGGCAGGGGGAGGCTTTTTTTCTCTCCTCCTTTTTAGGAGTCTGTCGTTTTGCTGTTTTTCTCTCTCTTCGCAGGCGTGATCTGGCTGTTTTCTCTGTGTGCGTTCAATGTGCTGTACTGTCATTTGATTTATTGATTTGAATTTCCGTGTAACGATATTTCGTATGATATGGTGCGTTTTACAATTATTTCTGGAGCGGACCGGGTCTGGCTGGACTAGATTGGAGCGCGTGGGCTTTAGGGAGGATTTTATTCATCCATTCCTCGCGGAGTTTTGATTTAGGACATGAATGATCACTCGAGTTTGTTTTTGTTTCTGTTTGTTCGCACGTGATTTGTAACGTTCTGAGTACGATAGGTTAGCTAAGTTTTGGTACTAATTATTTAATCAAGTAACCTATGTACTGGCTTTTGGAGTTTCCTCCCAGACGCCTCGCTATATCAGGGGCACGAAGAAGAAAAAGGAAGAGATAAAACTGCGGCGGGTAAACCGCAGGCAAGACGCAAAGAGGAGGGAAAAGGGTCCTTATTATGGATGAACTGTTCTTCTAATTTGCTAATCTCTAAGCAAACCGGTAAGTAAGGTCAAGCGAAGCAAGGGAAAAACAATTAACCGGTTGGATCTTACCCCAGCGGCGGCAAAGCAGAGCAAAGGAAAGCGAGTTACCTATCGTAGGAATTAAACTAAAGTCAACGCAATGCGGTGCAATGCAACGCTAGAAGAGCAATGATAAAGCCGGCACAATCAATCAATCAACCAGCCAGTCAATCAATCGGCCGCCTTCGTAGACTACCTGAAATTTCTGGTACAAGTACCAGTAGTAGCAGCGTTACCCTCCCTTCTCTCGGAGGCAGACATAGCAGACTCTCCAGCCTCCACTTTTTCCTCCTGAGTGCTAGCGTCCACACCCGCGGTTCCTTTCTTATCTTCCCCTTCACCGATAGAGCTAGCGCCATCTTCGTTGCGATCATCTGAACTCTCGTCATTATCGCTATCGCTCTTCTCATCATCCCCATCGAATCCTCCGCCCGCAGTCCTAGATCTGCGCAAGCGGGCACCCTTTCCAGAGTGGCTTCTATCCCTATACCTTGCCAATCTTTTCCTCTCAACGGCCTTATGTCTCGGGGACAAGCCTGAGACTCCATCCCCCGGCGACGAAGATTCACGTTCTGCAAAGCGGCGGAGCGAAGTTGGAGTTTTTGCGCCTGCGGTTGTGGTGGCTGGGGATGAGATATCCAGAGACGCCAGAGCGGCTGTGGCGCCGTCTAGGTATGCTTCTATAGTCGGAGGACTAGGCAGTGGAGAATCCGGCAGATCGAAATCCACGTCTGCGAGGTATGCAATGTCAATAAAATCATGTGATGCGTCGTCTACTTCTCCAGCCCCTGGGGCAAAGAAGGTAGGATCACTGCTGCCGCTACCACTTGCCCTGGGGCTGGCACTGTCACTGTCCGAGTCGGTACGTTGAACCCTTCCCTCCTCCTCCTCCCCCACCTGCACTCCCCTCACGCCAACGTCTTCGAATGGCAAAACCAAAATATCTCCACTCCCTTCCAACACCACCTCTTCCCCGGCTCCTCCTTCTCCCACTTCCCCACCACCACCCCATCCCGGCCTCACATCCTCATCTTCAAGAATCTCCACACTTCCATCACTGCCTTCCTTCAATTCCGGTGCGTGCAAGTCTAGCGCCTCAGCACAGTACTTACGGGACGCTCTCGCTCGGGCACGTCGCCGGGTGATATTGTGGTCCCACGCTAGTGTCGCGGCTGGGGATGGAGTGGAACCGTTACCGTTGGCGTTTGCATTACGGGGATTCAGGTTGTGTACTTCATCCGATGTCAGGACGATGCGGTTTGGGCGGAGCCGGATTATTGCTGACATTGTGGCTGTGCGTATGTTTGTTGATGGTAAGCTGGTCGGCTGATCATGGGTATATTAACCTTGGTATGGGTTGATCTTGATGATGGTGGTGATGGTGATGGTAATGAGGAGAGGAGAGGTGCGGGTGAGGAAGGAGGATGTGATGGGGTGGTAAATGACGGGTGTGTCGGCGTCGTAAGCAGGAACGTCAGTCTTTTCAATTTGAGCCCCGATCCCTCGCCTCCATCCTTCCCTCCTCCTTCCCCTCCCCAGGGCAAGAAATCGGGGCTCAAAAGTCTGACGACAGAACATTTCGAGTGACAATTCATGAGCATTACGCGTACAGCACTTGAAGCCCCCGAAAGACTTTTTTCAATTATTTCAAACACTTTTATTTTTATTTTTATTTTTATGATAATAACATTATGATAATAATATTATGATAGTAGAAATTATATCAGAACCTGATTATAATAATATTATTATCCGATCAATTCATCTCCCATAGGCCATGGCTCCGTTCACTGATCAACCCATCTCCAACTTAAACCCCATCCTTACAACCGACTCCAATAATAGCCCAAATTACGTTCACCAGAGCAACCTTAGCCCTCCTGTACTCCCCAGCAGTACGGTAGGTAGGTACCGGTGCCGTAGGTATCGAAACATGACGCCGGTACGATAGCTCGAGGACATCCGTGCTTACCGCACCCACCATCTATCCACAAGAGCTATTCCCCATACTGTACAGTACAGTACGATACCTTATCCCAGTTTTTTTTTTTTTTTTTTTTTTAAAAAAAAAAAAGAAGATGCACTCGTCCATCTGTTACGGCAGTGTGATCAATATCATAGCATAGTCATTCCGTCACATCTCCCCCCCTTCCTTCCTTCCTTCCTTCCTTCCCCACTTCCATCATAATATGATATACTCGAGTACTATACACTCGTCTATAATACTCGAGTAAGTTAGATTAATCTTACCCCCGGCACTTTTTTCCATTATCTATACAAGTATCATACGTAGCAGCAACCAAAGTGGACGATTTCTAAATATAGAAATCATGAATGAATTATCATATCTGACGAGTGCTATGTCTGATAGTCTAGTTGATAACCGTATGATACAGCTCTCATCACGGTTACGGCCGCGTCAGGGCGAGTGGGCCGTGCGATGTGCTCTGTGCCGCTGTCTGAGAAGGCAAAGGGAAGGGAAGGGAAGGGAAGGGGAAAGCGGGCGGGCAGATCTAATCGAGATTGATCGACCACTGTCGTATGGGTATGATACGTACGTACAGTATGTATGATACGGTTTCGGAGAGGTGGTCGGCCGGTTGCGTTACAATAAGGTGTGGGTGTGGGTTAGGGTGCGAGCGGCTGTGTTTGGTGGTGCAGAAAGTTAAAGTGCACCTTTGGTGGAGGAGGGAGGGGATGGAAGAGGATGGAAGGGTGGAAGGAAGGAAGGAGGAATTGGAAGACTTGCCGCGGCCCGTGGTAGACTATCGTAATCTGGAATCCAAAGCGTTCCTATCATACTGTACAGTATGATGTGATAAGAGATGGTCTACTATGTTGATAGAGGTGGTCTTGGCATATTTTTTTTTTTAACACAACTTGTAAAATTCTTATATGAGCTACCATATGATATGATGGAAAGGGACAAATGGGTCATTTGATCCCCCAAAGCTCACGGTACGGTACGATTCTCAACACCTTGGACCTTCCCGCTCGACGCCAAGAACGGAGAATTGAAAGAAAGGCTGCAGCGGGATGCGTTCCCGTATGAAATCATTTCCTACCCGTATCTACGGGTATTGCGGTATGTCTCTTACCGGTACGATAGTCCCATTTCACTGCAATGGCCGCGATCCAGAAATCCGCTTATCCCACGCTCCACATCTTTCCTAAATCCTCCAACGGGAGTCCCCCATCCATCCGGTCAAGGGGAGGGGAGATTTTAACCTAGCAAGGAGAGAGGACGGATGCTACGGGAGCTCGAGTGATCATTGATGAACACCCCTCCCTCACGGTATCGCAGTCGTCACGGGCTTCAGCCGCGAGAACACCGGTATGGGTAACAATTCCAGCCAGTTGGTCCTACCCCCCACCACCCAAAAAAAGAAAAGAAAAAAAAATATTATGGCTATTTCCCGATTCCCATAATAAAAACCCTCATGCCAAATACAGTACTGTATCTACAAATTTCCACATAATCTCCTTCCCGGTGGAACATCCCGTCCAGGGGACCAAATCCGCTCCATCCCTCGATTGACTGGTCGGTCGGTCGATCAGGCAATCGCGACACCGACTACGGTTGCCAACATTTGTTTAGTCGGGACTGGGATGGATGAATGGGATGAAAGGGGATCTCCATCTTTGATGGCAGAATGGATGGACCGGACTGCTGGGTCGGTTGGGGTTGGAGGGATTGTTGGGCCTCCGGGGAGGGGAGGAGGAGGCAGTGGTAGGGGTGGAAGCGCCAGTGTGGTACTGTACGAGTACTGTACTTTAGCTCTCGATATTTGTAGTTCTATTAATAATTATTATAATAATTATGACTGCTAAGATGAATGCAACACTAGGCTTACGACACATATTCTAGCGAGCGAGGTGCTGGACAACGAAACCTCCGCTCTCTTAGTAATGCTAGTTTAAAAATGGGGAGAAAACCGGGTCGTAATTTGGCATCGTACTCCAGTAGACTACAGTACCTGTACGGTACTCCTTGCATTCATTGATTCACCCGGAAGAGCGCCGAACAAGTTCTCGAGTACTTGCTTGAGTACGAGTGCGGCACAGCCATCTTACTCTCCCCTACCGATTGGCCAAGATTCACTTGTAAGCACCGCGAAGGTGGGGGTGTTCCTAGCCGACCATTCGAACACCAGCACTTGATAAGCTCGCCACTACGAGTACTCGTACAGTACTTGTATTCCTCTCTTTTTTCTCCCGCGAAATTACCCAGAGAGAAATTAGCACGCCACAATAATAATAATATCTAGTTTGTTATCGGTATTGTGAAGACGGAGTGAGATGTGTTCGAGCAATTACCGATAGTCTACGATACTAGTAGAAGAAGGGGCGAGGTAAGGTGAGAGAAGTGGGAGGGAAAAATAAGGAGGAAAAAAGTTAGGTATGGTGGTACAACGGTTCGGACTGGCTGATTAAGCCGCTGCGGTATGATATGTCCCAGTATCATAAGCATTGTACTGTACAGTACTCGTACTTGAGTATGGTGATACCCAGTGCAGCACCACGCAGAATGATATGATGTCTGTGATCTTTGGGTTTACAACAAAAAGTAAGGCTACTTTACGGTAGGATATGGAGACAGTACAGTACCTATGGAAAAGGTGCTTGCTTGCTTGCTTGCTTTGTGCTCGAATAGACATGTCACTTGGTGTACGAGTATGATACTTGCCACGTTGTATCTTTTGGTTTCCCCGCACGATGGTCGATCTGGTCGCTTGCTTGTTGGTTTGTATGGTGTCACTCCGACGGAGGAAGAGGTGTGACGAGAAAGTGGATTGTGCCTCCCGGATACTGGTACCATATCTACCACTTTGAGCGCCTAAAAGTACCGGCAGTGCTCTCTCCCTCCTTTCACAAGGCTCGCTGCAAGGAAAAATATATCACACGACGCCTGAACGCTTCGGGCGTCGTCTTTGACCCAAGCAAGAGTGCGTGTTCATCCTGTTCATCCCGTCGTTAGAGATACCGACACTCGTAGGCGGAGGGAAGGAAAAATGCGAGCAAGCAACTCGATCGCCCATGCAGAAGTGCATAGCCCATCTCGCCCCTCCAGTATAGTACGATGCACCACCAAGGCATAAGGTTCTATCCGTGTTAGGTTTTGATTGCCCTGCCCATCAGCACGGTATTGGGGGGATAAAAGTGCAGATAGGGATAATACCGGTACGGGTACCGTATGTCATCAAGATAGTACCGGTATGCGGGAGAAACAAAAATACCCACCTGTCAGGTTGGGGTGTACGAGTACTCGTAGGATTTTGTACGGGAGCTCTGCTGCCGGTATTGTTCCGGTGCTGTAGGAGTGCCCGAGTATCTTGTTTAATTGTTTTCCGGTGGTTTATCTCTTGGCGCCTTGCGGGGGGGGCGTTTTTTTCTCTTCGGTCCTTCTGCTTTCTCCGATTCCTTTAATCAGTGTCTGTCCGGGCAGGTCTTGGCTGTGATACCAGTGTGGTGTTTGATGCGTGAAATATGGATTTTTGAACGGTTTGCGAAAGGGAGACAAGAGCACAAGAACGACCGATACAGCGGATGCGTACAGTACAGTGCACACATATCCCACCATGGCTTCCTGTGTAAAGATGAAAATGAAAAATGTTTGATGGGGTCGACGACCTTAGTTATTTCCGGCCGCAATTAATGTTAAATTGGGGCTCTGGATGGGAATCAGGCAGGAAGATGACCAAGGTGAGACGCATATTTAACTTCGCCTCTTTCGCCCATTCATTCACCGTGGTGTTCGAAGAGGATTCCTGTAACAGGAGAAAGGGAGCTGGAGGGAATGAAGGGGAAGTTGAAGAAAGAAGAGAAGGGTTGATATTTCCTCACAAGAAATAAGCCGGCCTCTATTTTACTGTGAATCTCGGCAGTCTCCACCAGCAGGTGAAACCAGACTTCAATCCCCTTGTTTGATGGGGTTGAGGA